ATCGAAGCACATGGAACAGAATGCGCATAAGTGCGCATGCTCATAATGTCAACCGCTGGCTCAATACACTTCACTAAACTTTTATTTTCAATAGATTTTCCGAAAATTAGAAGTTAACGAATGCTTGGTATGTTTTGAATCTTCTTTTACGAACGAGTTACTCTGCCATCTTGGATTGTTGTGGAGCCCAGTCTTTTTCGCGTTAGTGTTTTTATTGTATATATCTTTAATATATGTCATTAATTATCTACTTAAAATAGGTTTCTCGCGTTGGTCATTGCTTTCATTTATTTGGTGGCTCCATTTATTTGGTATACTTTATTAACTTGTCAATAGCCGTCTTACTGATCTTTCGTTGGCTTCGAACTGGTCCCAAAGCTTAAAGATTTTCTGCTGTAGGTCTCTGTATTTTCGTCGCTGGATTCTCCTCAGCTTCCTTTCGGACACCAGTCGGATCGGACGTGATGTCAGCTTAGCTTCCCTGTGAAGAAGATGGATCAGCAGGTACATGGGAAGCTGTCCTCGTCCGGATGCTCGTCGATTTAGGCCGTGGTGCTAACCCTCAACATCGTTATTGGTTCTGACAGCCTGCATGTAGCAAGTCCAATCTTTCGGGCTCCGGGTGCTTCCGTGGATCCAAGTGCTGGATACGTAGTCGACGAACTCGAGAAGTGGCTCCGACGCCTCCCTGCGTAGCATCTCGAACATGGGTTCTATCTCTCTTTCTGGCAGGAACGGCAGGGCCATCATCTTTCTGATGTAGCTGTAAGTCCCGCGGTCGTGGCGGTAAGCCGATTGTAGGCCGAGGCGAATCAGCTAAGGACGACTCGTCTAAGGCCACTTCGGCAGGTAAGTTGAAGTCAGCGTCAGGAAGCTCAGAGTTAAAGTCAGCGTCAGGTTCGGCGTATGCGGAGTTCTCACTTAAGGCGGTACTCTCAGCCTGAGGGGTGTCGCATGCTAAACAGCGCCAGTCGATAGTCACACCGGTTTTAACTGCTTCTCAGTATTCGGGCTGTGATACGCCCGTATCGCAAGTGCGGTGTTGCCAACGGAGGCAGCCATCACACTGCAGGCCTTGTTGACGAGGTCGAACTTGTTGCTGACAAGATATACACATCGTAAGGTAGGCGGAAGACATCGTAACGTATAGAGCGTTTTGATTCACTTGTAATGGTTGCTGAATAAGCTAATATGAGTATCCACAATTGAATGATCCCTTTTATACACATCACTAGGATCGAAATTTGGACTTCGAAGGAAACACGCCATTTGATTGGAGAAATCTTTAAATGTATAAACAATTAGCACGGAAATTAGTTTAACGGAGCTATGAGGAAACACTTTACGGGTGGGTGAGCGGGCTAACTTGTTAGTAAACATTTGCATATCAATAGACGAAAAAAATTATCATCATTTTAAGAGACGCTTAACTGATTGTTAAAAAACAGACTTGTTAATCGAGATAACAACTTATTATGGCGTGTTAGGATCCTAATGAACTTTGTTTTCCTTCACCCTCAAGAAGTTTTTTGTATTTGTCCGCGGGAAACTGAGTAATACAATTCTTTTGATCGCTGTCGGATGCGATGCGAAGATTAAAACCCTTTCATTACTTTTATAAGTGAACTACAAGTTTGTATCGAATCGACTCAAGATGTATAGCGAGTCGACTTTGCATGTGTATAAAAACGATTTCGAGATATAACGAAACGACAGGATACCAGACAGTCCAAGGACTCTATCCGCTTAAGGTGTTTAGTAGCTTTGTAAGATTAGAAGTTTACTTGCTTAGCTTGTAAAAAAGATTAGCAGTTTACGTGCTTAGTTTTCCCTTGNAGACAGTCCAAGGACTCTATCCGCTTAAGGTGTTTAGTAGCTTTGTAAGATTAGAAGTTTACTTGCTTAGCTTGTAAAAAAGATTAGCAGTTTACGTGCTTAGTTTTCCCTTGGAACGAAGTGACCAACGGATGGAACGAAGTGACTTGGAACAAAGTGACCATGGAACGAAGTGACCGGATATCGCTACACGAACTCCACGTCTCCTAGCCTAGCGAATTACCCTGGCCAGTCGAGGGTTGGGATAATGCTTTTGTCCCCGAATATACGAGAGACTTGTTATCAGCATATTTAGTACAAGCTAAATCCATAGAACCGATCGATAATATCAATCGCCAACTGACACAAGTCAACTCTGTAAAGACTAACACCCAACAATGACACAAAATGGCGAACGACAGCTCTCCATGACAGTGCTTTGTCATATGACTATTTTCGGAATCGAGTGGTTTCCGAGCGAAAGAATCTAATTACTAGTTTAAAAGTGCTCTTATAGTCATTGTTTTTAAAGAAAGAAACGATACAACAAGGAGGCTTACCTTAGCTCCCAGATGACACGGCGTTCATTTCATTCCTCCTCGGGTCACAATATTCAATAACACATTTTTACACGATTCCATCGATTCGTCCACGGACCACGGTCAATAGACATCGTAGCTTTTAAGATTCCGATGCAGGTATCGTTTTGTCGCAGCAAGTGTTCCTTAGCGTAATAACTTCCCATTTTTCAACCCACGAAGGAATCCCTGTTTACAGATCGAACAAAAAGCCACCTTCGACCTCCATGCCGTGTTACGCGATCTTGTTGGACAAAAATTTTCGCCTGTCTAGTACCCCCATAAAACATGCAAAAGATATGCGGAGAAGTCTTTGGGACAAAAACAATACTTAGCAGGGGAGGTAGAAGGAAAAAAAGTTTAATCCAACTTTATTATGTGGCTCTTTCTCACAAGGACTGGGAACTACCGAATTCACGAATTTGATTGGCTGAAATCGATATTGAAAGCGCTCTAGATTTTCCCATCTAGACCGGTATCTAGACCGACATCTAGACTGGTGATGTTTTGCCGTAAAAAAAAGTTGCAAACTAAAATGCAAAGTCACTGACTGTTTTCATCTAACAATATTTATTTATGGAAGTGCCAAAAAGCCTGATAAGAAAAAAAAAA